GCATAAAAACTCCTAGGCAAATATCTCCTCCAGCAAGCAGTTCCTTTGAACGACATCTTGAAATTTTCAATAACAAATGACTACTGCAAGGGCAACTGACGCTGCTATCGTGCCAAAGGTCGAAAATCCAACTATGCCACTAAAATAACCCGATTCATCTAAGCAGGGGCCTTATAAACTCGAAATCAGTTCCAAAGTATGCCGAGATGTCACGTATGACCATGTAATAATTTTATCTCAAAGATCATTCGAAAGCAAGAAAATTAGGAAATTGAAATTTTGGAATGATATTCACCCTTCAAGCTTTCAAATTCAACTTTCACATATTGGTGCGTGAAATTTTCAGCAATTTTTCAACACTTCAATTATTTTTGCAAAGACCAAAGCGCAAAGCAGTGAAAATCATTCGGACAAATCAATTCGCATTAAAAGCTTTAATTTTGAGAAATACTTTGCGAACACTTTGTGCAGCACCATGGTCTAGTATGTACAACAATAAAGGCAAACTCTCTAAAATGGATGCCCACATACCTCCGATATGTTTCCGTAGCTGTTGTACATCACGCAAATCTGCTTGGCAGTCCAAGAAATGTGGAAATATTTCCAGAACTTTCTTCATCACGTTCTGTTCTTTGTGAAATGCGGTTTTTGCTGCTGTAATAGGAAATTATATTAGCAAAAATCTGTCAAAACCACAGCGTGCAACAGTTTCATGTGTCTCTTGCAATTTATATCTTTGATTAACTGTGGTTTCCACCTACAACCGGTGGCAGTGAACTTATAGAATACATATGCCAATAGCCTTAGAGTGTCAGTCTCAAATGGTCAAAAGCGTTCTAGACATAGACGGTTTCCTGAGGAGAGGGTGGACGGAGGAGGTGATTGCGATGATTTTCCTCTTCCCAACCTCGTTCTCTCTTCGTCATTACGTTGAAGTCCCACTCTTCCCTCCCCCGGCTCATCGTTCCTACCGCCAACAATCAGGAGGAAGGGGGACCGACGAATGATGTCGAAGATAGTTTTTTTTACTTTTAGCACTGCAATCTGTGCCGCTCCCTCGGACCTGCCAATGCCATATATGAGACAGGTGAAAAGTAACCCTTCCCCCTGAGGCGATTTTGTCGTTGCTTTGACTAGCCTTCCATCATTAGTCATGAAAAAATCTTGAGAAGTAGGACGCTGGCTTGGCGTCCAAGGAATTCAAGAAGGAAATAAACTGGGCGAAGCAACAACAGTGCAGGTTGCTTTGCGAACGAACCGTGCAAAATAACGTATGATCTTCATCAGCAAGCACGAGGTACGTAAATTTTAAGCAAACTATGTGAAAAGTATGAAGGGCTTACTGTCGATGATAACACCAACACTTGTCGCACCTGGACCGCCCGGCCCTTCCAGCACGCATGCCGCCTTATGCGCCCCAATCGCAACCAATTTTCCTTCACCGATGCGTGGGAATGATTTCTCGCTGTATCCCTCATCTTCTGGATATTTCAGATATGAGGTTCCGCTACGAAACGAAAAGTTCCGGTCGCTGAAATTTGGAGGAAAAGGCATTTCTTCACCGTACAATACAGATTACGCTCCTTCAAAAGTTCCGAGCTTATAAACAAATTTCGACTGTGAATGTTGGAATCGATCCTAGAATTTATCGCACAGAAGAAAACTTAGCAAAACCACTGTTAAAAAATTTATGTGACGTTAAGCAAGCAACTGGAGTAGATTCTTTGCTGCGGCACCAGTTCATCGGAACTTTCCAAGTCCTTCATTTCAAGCATCAATATGGCTCCCCACAAAAGAATGCTTCATAAATATCCAGGATAACAGTAGGAATGCTCCCCAATTATGTGCGACTAAAAGATTTCAAATTTAACCCTTCTTTTTGGACGCCCAACAACTTCCCATTGGTCAAGTCACTGAAGCCGACTTCTACAGCTGACATCTAACACATAGCTGCACAATTAACTTCTTGAATTTCGAGGACCAGCATATCACAAATTCTAGCTGTGATCCCTTGCG